CTAGTTTATACATACATATATAACGGAATGAATTATAAAATAGGCGAGAAATCATACCGCCGTATGAAAACACCTGGGTATTTGCTTTGTCGCCACACAAACCATCTGCTGCACTTAACTACTTATTGTATATTATCATACAAATAACACCAACAAAGCGTAATAGTACGTAGGAATGAGTGAATACATTGTGATGTTGAAATAATTAAAAAAAAAAGAAATTTAACGGAATCACTGTTTCATTAAATAAAAAAATACGATGTGCTTTTTTAGGACAGTCGGGGTCGACGGAATTAGAACTGCGCAGATATATGTAGTATATTTGACGAACGACTGTAACTTCAGCAGCATTTTCGAAAGCTCTTTAATTTTCTTTCATAAGTTCACAACAAGATAGTCTAAATAAGCAGGTTTACATTTGCTTTATAGGAAATTCAATCAAGTTTAGTCGTTGCTGTTACAAAAGCAACTATTTATTATAACAGTAACAATTTTCTATCGAAATTCAAATAATTACCAACCTTCTGTTATCAAGAAAAAACTTTATAGTCATTAGCTAAGGGAGCGTACCCGCAACAGTTCTCTATACCCCGAAGTTTTGTTAAAAAAATTTAATTTATAGATTTGTCGTCACATTTATGCAATAAAGTAATAACTGTAAACACATACGCGCATTCTTATAATCCCAAAATTGATCCTACCCTGCTGGGAAGTTTTGTGCTAGGGAAAATACATGTATAAATTATTGGTTTGAATTAATAACACGTGCTAACAAAAAGTCATGGAATACACCCAAAACAAAACCTAGTGTAGGTTGTCGCTATGGTCGAGTACAACATAAAAATAGGTTCCGTATAGTTCCTGAACCCTCCATTTTTATTTTACTTAAAAACAACCGTTATGTTCGTACGTGATGCACTTATATATCAAATGCTTCACTATTTTTCATACGATTTTAGGAACCAAACACGTTTTGAAAAGAGGATTTATAGGTATTTAAAATGATGTATAACA